TAAAAGAAAGAGTACAACTTTACAATCCGTATCCTGTCTCATGTAATCTCTCAATCAGTGTTTCAGCCGCGCAAAGACGTCAATATAACGGCTTGTAAACAATGTCACGTAACGTCACATTTACCCCAGAAAAACATATTCGGTGACCATAAACTCATTAGTCAGATATGAAAATGAACTGTAGAGAGGAGCATTTTGCTAAATATATGCACCATATAACATATTCATTATAAATTTTACTGTTCTTCAATGTTTAATTTATCAAGTTTTTATGACAGCCACCATTTGCAAGGATATGTTTGCAGATTCTGTACTGCACATGACCAATTGACTCACTGTTTGCCGTGGTAATCAAATCAAGACTCTTCCAAAATACAGCTTTTCCGAAGCATTGGGAACTTTTAGTTCTCCCCATGCTCCAACTTCTCCCTGATGCTGTGCATAGTCAACTGTCACCTATATGGTAATGCGTGTGTATGTGCGTTGCGTATTGCGTAGGCGATGTATAATATTTATAATATAATCAATATAACAATATTTCATACAGTAGCCTATGAGGAGCATTTTGCTAAATATATGCACCATATAACATATTCATTATACATTTTACTGTTCTTCAATGTTTAATTTATCAAGTTTTTATGACAGCCACCATTGTTTATATAAAAAAACGAATTGAAGCTAGAAATATTATGTAATTGTAACTTTATTATTTTAAAAACTTAAGTGTAATTTGAACAAATCAGTCAATTTTAACCTTCAATATTATAGTAATGTAGTACCAACTGACTCATGTATATTTTATAGCATTAGATGAGAGATTTGTTTCCTTGAGAAAATTTGGTATGTACTGTACCTGATATATATCCAAAATAATCGATATTGAATCGAATCGAATCGAAAATGGAATCGAATCACAAGCTTGTGAATGAGAATCGAATCAAATCATGAAATTTGTGTCAAAACCCAGCCCTATTGAAAACGTACCGAACCGTGACACCACTGCATCGTATCGAACCGAACTGTGAATTTTGTGAACCGTTACACCCCTAATATATATATATATATATATATAT